CCAGTCAATTCACCCAGGCTCCAGGTGATCTTATTACGGTTTTGGCAATTTTCGACGCCTGCATCGGGAGACGGGATCCAGCCATTGGAAATTCCCAACCGGACAGGAGAGCAGCGAATCAGTCTAGCCGTCCCAGGTGCCAGAGGGCCTTATTGCGGTGAGTGGGTTCCAACTATTCCTTTTCTTTATCTATTTCCAGTCAAGCACGCATTCGACCGTAATTGCACGTCATTTTATTTGAATTTCATTGGCAAGTACCATTTACCTTGCCCGAACTGTACCAGTTTTACGTATTTCAACTAAGCGGTTTTTCAAATGGTTATGACGCGTTCGCAAACTTTCGATGCTCCACACATGGCAGGCGCGGAAGGTGACGACAATGCCGAAACATTTTCGGACTCAAATCCTACACCAGAGGATGCAGGAAATTTACAAATTTTATTCTTAAAAAGAAATCGCATTCACGACGAAATATCGCGTTTCAAGTTGTGGTTTGAAACAAACAATCTAAGTACATCCGCTTTTCGACTAAGAGTAAGATTGCGCGATTTTGTACGTATTAAGGCTCAGTTTGACAAAATCCATTCTCAGATTGAAGCTCTTGATGACGCCACCCCCGATTTAGAACAAGCTACCACAAGACTTTATTTTGAAAACGCGTATTACGATTTATGTGCAGATGTCGAAGATGCTATTGAACAAAAACGCGTTAACACATCTTCACCTGCACCGCAAGGTAACGCACCTACGAGCACACCGTCACCATCGGTGCAGTCGCTCCCGATTGTTATTAAACCGTTTAGCGGAATTTATACTGAATGGCTACCTTTTTATAATACACTTAAAACACAAAAGGTGTCTACATTTACAGCGGCAGTAAATCGCAATAGTACACAATCCACTTGTTATTTTTGTAAAAAATCTCATTTAATTTACAACTGTGTTACCTTTTTAAAACTCAGTGTTTCGGAAAGAAGGTCTCAGGTAGATAGGTTGAAATTATGTCAAAATTGTCTCAAACCATCGCATACGTCCGATAGCTGTAAATCTATGTCATGTAAATTATGCCAATTGAAACATAATACACTTTTACATAGTGACCAACCCTCCCATTCAAACGAAAACCAGCCTAGTACCAGTGGAGTTTATTGCTCATCCGCCCTTTTTCCACAAGCCGTTTTGTCTACAGCAATAATTCTAATAAAGGATTGTAAAAACAAATTTCAAAAATTCCGGGCTTTGTTAGACGTGGGTTCAGAATCGCATTTTATTACTGAAGCCGCCACTAACAAATTGGGTTTAAGTACAGAAAATGCAAATGTGGTCGTAGCAGGTATTCAATGTTCAAATACGACCGCTAGACAAAAGGTTCAGGTACAGATCGAGTCGTTGCATTACTCATTTACAACAGCTTTAAATTGTTTGGTAATCCCAAAAATTTTGCAGAACATACCTGTCCGTACCTTTTCTAAAGATGAGCTGGACATACCTGAAGCGGTAAAACTTGCCGATCCTAATTTCAATTTGTCACAGCCAATCGATCTGTTAATCGGAGCTGGATTATTTTGGAAACTGTTATGTGTAGGTCAAATTCAAACGATAGGACATGGCTTAATATTACAAAAAACTTTATTAGGTTGGATTGTAGGAGGGCCATTACATGGATGCCCCACCAGTAACACTCGTCAAAATCTACATTGCGCGGTCAATAATGTCAATTTAGAAAAGCAAGTTGAAAAGTTCTGCAAACTTGAAAGCCATTCAAGCGATGACAAGTCGTTCACAGCTCCTGAAATGCAACAGGAGAACTATTTTATTAACAATGCCACTCGATTGTCCAACGGACGATTTCAAGTCAGATTAACCTTTAGCAAGAGTTTCCCAATTTTGAGGAATTCCAAAGAAATCGCGCTTCAACGATTGTACTCATCGGAACTTAAGTTCGCAAAAAATATTATGTTAGAAATCAACTATCATAATTTTATAAAAGAAAACATTAATTTAGATCACATGCCTTTACTAGGTTCATTGACAGAGCAAAAAATCGAAAGTGAACCCCGTCATTTTTTGCCTCACCATGCGGTTTCCAAAAATGACGGGGTCACTGAAAAGATTTGCGTAGTGTTTGACGGGTCAGTCAAACCATTAGTCGGAAAAAGCATAAATGCTTGTCTGAGTACAGGGCCAAAAATACAAAACGACATTTCCGATTCAATAATTCGATCTAGGACGCATGAGGTCGCTTTTACTGCGGACATTTGTAACACGTATCATCAAATTTTATTTCAACCCGAAGACAGACGATACGAAAAAACTTTGTGGTGGGATGATCCCGTGCTTTACCAAGCACGTGTCACTTTAGCTAAACGGGCTTCGAATACAAATTTGCTGAATGATTTGACAACTAACCACATCAATTTTCATTTCATTCCGCCTTCCGCACCACATATGGGGACTATCGGGGAAGCAATGGTCAAATCTGCGAAAAGTCAGTTGAAGCGCGTTACTGGTATATTTTTATTTAATTTGCAAGAAATGCAGACGTTGCAAATACAAGTCGAAACGTGTTTGAATTCGTACCCGTTAACCGCCATGTCCAAAGATCCAAATGACCTGACTCCTTTAATTCCCGGTCACTTCCTCGTTGGAACCCCTCTAACTGTTATTCCAGAGAATAACGTCACCACGGTCTCAACGAACCGGCTCTCCAGGTGGCAACAATTCAGTCGCACTCAGCAGCAATTTTGGAAATGGTGGACAGCAGAACATATGGGTCAACTTCATCATCGCCCAAAATGGACCAAGGCCAGCCACAAGGGCATAAGGTGGACGATTTGGTGGTCATTAAGGAGGACCACACACCCCCGCTTATATGGACCACTGGGACGCGTTATTACTGTTCATCCCGGTCTACATGGCCCCATTCGCGTAGTGACAGTGAGAACCGCGCATGATGTGATTAACCTGCAAGTGACTAAGCTGTGTGTGCTTCCGACATAAACAAATGTGCAGTGTCTAAATTTACCCCTTTTTTTCTATGTGTTCTGTACTCTATTTCATTGTCAATGTATGCACCTGTCATGTAGACACTTATTATGTATTTCATATTTGCAATTGTTATACTTTGTCATGTTGAAAGTTAGTTCTTTCAAGGCGCCGGACCATGTTCGGGTTTCGGTTTTACCTACCAACCGCAACCCTTGTCAACAAGCGTCCCCAACTTTCTCTTTTACCTGCAATGTATCGCTTCCGATTTTAACAACTTTTGTACATAGACTTCGAACCGTCAACAACAAGTAAATACAGTGTTACACAGCACATGTTTGTGTTTCATTTATATCAATCTTTTTCGGTACGTATGTATGAGTAATAATCATACATCCAACACACTAACTCGTCAATTTTCGATGGCACAAAAAACTTACACTTCTTTAAGACTTTTGATGTTATTGTTCTTCCGTTTTATTCAATTCAACCTGTTCGAAATGTCCAAATTTTTTGTCACAAATTATATATTTAATAAATAAAAATTGAAATCGTAAAATGGTTTACTTTTTACCTTTACAACAACAGAATTGTAGTTCACGCTTGGGAAGAAAAAAATCTATTTAGTTTCATTTATATGTCCTTCTAAAAGTTTCGCTAGCGCTCGAAGTGATTGTTTTTCTAGATTTGAGATATAATATGGTAATATCAAAAAAAGAAAAGAAAAAAACTTTATATGTATATCAAAGTGGAGAATCAAAATGCATTAAGCAACAGAAAAAAAGAAAGAAATCCACATACAGCCGATTTCGACGACTACTGGCTGTTGATCGATACTACACCAAAAACAAAATATGTAATGAAATTTCAATTAATTAGCTGCATAAACGGTTGCAAATAAGTTTCCGCAGTCCTCTTGATTATTTAAAAATGTCTACTTTTTTGTAAATTATTGCAAAACAAGGAAACATAAACCACCTAATCGTATTCTGGAAAATTTTAATGTCAATATGTTCAGAGTACAACAAATTACTCAAATGTATCGTTAACACTGCATTATAAAGGTTAAAATCTTATCACAACAGTTTGTTTTATATTTGTTGTACACTTAAACAAATTTATATTTTTATAGTTAATATTTGCGAGACAATATGTAGAAATTTCACCTCTAAAAACCAACGACCTACATTATTGTTTCATCGTAGTTTCCTACTTGTAAATATTTAAAACTATCACGTCGCATTGAACTATAAACCCTGACATTATGTAATTCTAGATCTTGTAACGAGTTCGGTCCAATAAAGCCGGCTCAATTCGAGATCATGAATTTATCATCAGTTCCGTAACATGTGGTAAGTTCGTACAAACTAGCCCATAAAATGTGTATAGAGTCGAGGAAGTACATTGGAAAGCAACTTCTTCGCACCTCTCGAAAACGTTATTGTGATTTATACATGATCCAACGATCCCTTTAAAAATTCTCTCTTGCCAACCTGAGCACCGATTTGGGCGGTCTTTTTTGCAGCATCTCCTTCCTTTCTCACGTAATTTTCCCCTGACACAAATATTCTCAGTGGAGGGTAATGACGCATCCAAAGACACGAAAAGGTTAAAATTCCCGCATTGTTCGCAATTTGCAGGAGATAATGAGGCATACAAAACGCATGATGTAATCGGAATTTGTCCCTTTCGTCTTTAGCCACTTGATGATCCATGAATTGATGCAATCACGACGTACAAACAAATCGGAGAGTGCTTGTATAAAGTAATTAACCGCTGTTATGACACGAAAGCTGTCTCCGATGTAGGTAGAAAGGTAGACTTGTAATAAATTAGAGGGCCGGCACGTTGAAAGTTAGTTATCTACTTAATTGACTGACCGGGGGCTGCGCACATGATCTTCAGATCATGCATCAGGCAGACCCTCATTAGAAAATTAAATCATTGCCAAGATTAACATAATGATAACTTTAAGATATTATCAATTTCGCGAATTTGCATAAGCAGATGATTACCTTCGTTAGAGAGTTTGAGATGCTGCCTTCTGCTTTCTTCAACCTTCGAACGTGTTCCATAATTATCCCATTTGTACTTGGTGAGGGACGAGACCGAGACAGAGACCGGGGGTTCGGTGGGTTCTTCGGCTTGCCAATCGCTGTCATCGTCGGAAAAAGGATCCTCATCAGCCGCGTCGTCTTCATAATCGTCGAAATTATCACTGGAGTCGCTGTTTTCATCTTCCTGAAAAGAATTAAATGGTCTGTGATAATATAACTTTTATGTTAAATTCTAAATATGCTTACTCAATCATAAACTAAGGATTTAGAGACAGGGCAAGATGAAACCGATGGTTATAACCTTTTGATATACATACATATTACATATCTGTATAAACCGAGTTAATGACCTATAATGAGATTACTACTTCTCCAGGCTGAATCTACTACTGACCAAATTTCAGTCAAACGTAGTGTAAACTTAATAAGCTGAGTAGTATTGATTCATTAGATAAACAAAAACAGCTAGTATTAACATTACATTTTTTAGAGCTATACACAGGTGTCTCGGATAAAAATCCGCAGCGTTGTCGAAAACTAATAGAGATATTGATATTTTTTAAAATTTATTGTTTTTAGCTTGAAATGAGAAACTTAATTAGTACATTACAAATGCGACACACATCTTGTTATAAGGTCAATATAATCTTTAAAGAACACAAACAATCTTAATTTTCTGTTTTAAATGTTCTAAATCAATCAAGCGAAATCATATGCATCACTACAAAAAATCTAAATGCGTTAAATTATTATCGATCCAATTTTCGTCATACATATTTTGCATTAAATTAAAAAATGTGTAGCAAAGAAATATTGTAGAAAATTCCAATTCTCGACGTTAAAAGTTAACAGTAGTAACGTAATTGTGTTTGCACATTTTTTAAATAACAGTAGTTTACAAATTTAATTTTTTTTTCATATCCAAAAATAAAAAAAAATATTTTTTACTTCTAAATTACTTACTGATAACAAATCCAAAAACGGATAATCCTTATCACGTCAGGTTTATTCATAAAACCAAAATAAAGAACTTTGCTTTCACCTTCACGTTAGTGTTAAACTGATTCATGTTAATGCACCATTGTCGCATGAAAAATGTCTTCGAGATCGTGCAAAGTAAGTGCAAATCAGTTTTGTTACGTTTGTAGTAAAATTGTAGTACCTAAAGCGGGAAGACCTGTTCAAATATGCTTAAAAAGAAGGTATCAAGGTTTTTGGGACGAGAATGTGTTACTGTTGGTCTATTATAAGGGAAACTGACAGTACTGTCAGTAAAAGAAACGCTAGTGTTAATCATTTTAATTTTCAGTTATAATGTTTATAATATATACTGAGTATTGCTTTTATTTGATACAACCCCTGTAACTTCTTTATTCTTAAAGATAAACCTGTATTTCTTTGAGCAAATTTGTATCATTTTAAAAGATATTTGTGAGGCCAACCTGACATTTGTATTATCACTTCCCGTAGAAAAATCAAAAGCAACCAATTATTCTAAAATCAATACTTGAAAAATTTTAAATAAAACATTGATGACAATCTAATAGCTTGAAAAATTGCCATTAATGTTATTTATTTACGTAAATGCTCTTTTAAAATGATACAAATTTGCTCAAAGAACTATATGTTCATACATATTTAAAAATAAAAAAGTTACAAGAGTTGTATAAAAGAAAAGAAATACCGGGTATGTTTATATCAATATCTCAAAAACCTGACGTGATGGATTTTTTCTGCTTTTAGATTTGAATTTCCCGAAATCAAATCCTTCACATTCAACTATTTTTGTCTTTGGATATAAAACCTTGTAAACTAGTGTAATCTAGATATCTCTCTTCATCTAGATTATGTATACTATTTAGTGTTAAAACTAATACAATACATATATCTAAATGTATTACATATATGTATTATAAAAGTAATTTAATAAATGGTCTAAAAAATATATTACAGAAAGTATAGATGGTTGTTTAAAAAAATATATGACTACGTCACGACTCCTTTTCCTCCCTTCAAGCTAAAAACAATGACGTTTACCGAATTTCAATATTTCTATTTGTTCTCAAGATAAAAGATCACGAATTTTGTCTATATTTCAAATTTATTGAGCTTAGACTTATTATTGTGAACACTTCTGAAGCACATACATGTGTTCTAGATAGAATTCCGCAGCCTTATATCTCTAGAACAGATACATATCAAAATTTTGTAAACGCTGTCGCTTTTAGCCTGAAGGAGGAACCTTACATTGCAAATATAACGTACACTTGGCGTAGCAACCTGCATTTTTATATCAGATTTTAAACAGAATTAAATTACGATTGCAAAGAGAATATTATACACTTTCAAACTTTCATGCTATGTTCAATTCTAAATAATATAAGTATAAAAAGTCTAATAAGCCTAGTGTGTAAACTTTGGCTGTTTTACGTTTAATTTTTATATCTATCATTACGAGATTTAAACAAAAGACTTTTTGTGGTTAAAGACAAAATACGAAGGAGATAATTTTTTGAGAAAAGTAATGTGGAACCATCAAAGTTCTTTTCACAACAATCGCTTACATTAATATATGTATGTAGTAAGTGTTTTATGTCACTACAATCGTCATTTATACATAGATCTATCTAAATTTGTTAAAACATTTAAATTACCATAAAATATATAGGTATATATAAGTTTGCTGTGCCAAAGGTGAGTCATTTGTATACTAGATTTTTCTTTTTTCAAAATATGGCTCAACAAATAGTACGATGAAAGGTATACTACAAAAGACGGTCGATGTAAAAACCACATCCAACTTATTTTTCAGTTTCGGCAACAAAAATAATATTTGTGTTACAATTGAAACTTGATTCTTACTTTGTTAGAAAAGATTATTCTTTTTATTTCCCGAGCGTAAGCTAAGGAAGTATTGTAATTGAGGCCATGTTTTCTCGACGTTTCTTGACCCCTAGAGTACCCATTTCGGTCTGTCTGGCTTCTGTCTCTCTATGCCGATTTGTATTACACATATAATCTTCGAAACTACTGGGCTGATTGTAGCGAAATTTTATACATATATTAAGAATATCGTGTAGATGGTAAGACCAACAATTTGATGACATCCCCTCAAATGTTTTTTGTAAACGCCATTTAAATTTTATAAAATCACACACTCCTATACTTATGGTTTATGAATCCCATTTAATTTTTTTGCTCTACGCATCCAGATTTTGGAAAAAATAAAAATCATACCATCACATTTTATAATAAGAACACTGACTAGTGGTGAATTCTGTGAACGTATCTTAAAAATGTTGAATTACTAACGCGAATATCGCTGATTCGATCAATCAGAAGAGATAATTTTTTAATGATCAAATCAAAAACGATTCACCCCATTTCCTCGAAAATTTCATATTACAGTAATGTTCAGCCCACCTATAATTAATAATAACAAAAAGAATGATCACAATAACAGATACCTACTTACCTACCCAAAATAGATTAAGGTTTTGCTTCAATGTAGCTTAATTAATAATTTTAGTCACCTTCTCTGTTTTGAGGAGATAAAATCATTTAAATTCTTCGCTTATCATAATAATAAAAAAATTGGTCGAAGTTTATTTCGACCGAAATTCCCAGCGCTTCTGAAGTACAAGTTCAACAAATCCTGCTTCTTTGAAAAATAATAAAATTAAATTTTGCGATGTCTGTTTTGTGACAACCTGTAGAAAGTAAAAACCAGAGGCCTAAATAACACCCCCACAGCCCACAGCCTCTGCGCCGTGGGAAGGCAGATTGCAAGGGATGGTGCCAGCGATGTTATATAATGAAATGGATCTAGTCACGATGGATAAAGTCTCTTACCAACATATCTGCGACATAACATAATTAGCTGTCTTTGTCTCCTCACTGCACTTTGTTGGCTTTCAACTAACCAATAAGGTAACGTCATTTTGAGAACTTCTACGAATGAGATTGTAATTTAAGTAAAATACGGCGTGATCCAATTTTCATTTCACGCCAAATAATGGAATACAGCAATCACTAATATCAGACGCCTGCAAAATTGAGATGTTAAAGACCTGTTGTTTTTGTTTTAGCAACTGTTTTGCACATTTGTTGTATTGCTAATTACAAATATAAACTTCATTTTTGCTATCACGTGAGGTTTATTTGTAAAAAAAACAGGAACATCTAAAATTTCAGAAATACAAATATTAAAGAAATTTTACCCCCTAACAGGTAAAAATAGACAGGTAGAAGGGAAAAAATACCGCCTTTTTGACAGGAATCTCATGAAGTTACCAAGATGGAACAATCCCTGGAACAATCCCACACACACGTTTCTTCCACTTTTGCGCTTGCGCTGATTTAGATCTAAGAGAGAAATAGACTGTGTGGACGTTCAATAATCTAAAAGAAGATGGATAAAAAGCGTTTGTTGTGATTTTACCAACAAAGTACATTGTCGAAACTAAATTGATGACTGTGTCCATGTAAAATTGTAAGTCCATGGATGGTGCAAATTGCACAAATAGGAGAAATGTAAAACATATTTAAAGCAGATGACCCACGGCATTAAATGGATTCTCAGCAGTAACAACAAGCTTTAATTACAAGTGCTTGTTTTTATTTCGGAAGAATGTCACGTAGAAAATTGTTTGATTTGAATGAGGTTGTCGCTTCAAAATAGGAGACTAAAATTATTAATTAAGCCACAGTGGAACAAAATGTTCCGAATGTTATTATTATTATAATTTTTATTAAATAAAGACGTGCGTATTCTCACTTTTCGAGAAAATAGGGTGATTTGTTCTTAAGTTGATCGATGAACAAATAAAAAAAAGATAATACACACCGCGAGAGAAAAAGGGAAAAAAAAGAGTTAAAAGCCAAGTTTGGCATCGTTTGGAACTCTAACCCCCTGAGCCACGGTTGGCATATCGTACGCTAATGGAAAACTCTTATTATACTGAGATTACGTGCTAATAAAAATGGATAGGGAGACAAACATTCAGACAGACAGACAGACCAACGGAAACAGGAGGCTATTTTTTTGGTACTGTAGACTGTAGGGGTCCTGAAACGTCGAAAAAACATAAAAGTGGCCATTCGTCCGATGGACTCGATTATTATACTTCCTTAGTTTACGCTTGGGAAATAATCAACATAAACAATCGAAATTAAACTGATAAT